CTTTCCCCTTCCCTTTCCCTTTTCACTTGTGGAAAAACAATTTATAGAAGCTTGTCAGGCTTATTAATCTATTTCACCTATGCATGTTTCTAGCCAGTTATTTAGATTAGTTTGAAAAAAATCCAGTCTGAAGGACAAGAAAATTCTGAATAAAGGTTCCTGATTTTAATCATTGCAGTTGACTCTAGTGGACAGATTGCAATCAGCACAAACTTGTCCATTTATTCTGAGTTGTCTGTTAATGTGCATCATTTTTATCTGAAAATACATATTTGTGTAAAATGTGTGGGTGCTTCTAAATGAACAGTAATGATAAACCGTGGTCTCCAAACCAGCTGAGTTTTTGTTGTCCTGACAATATCTAAACGGAAGACTTGTATCACTACATTTTAATTGCAGCTAAACTTATAATTCTGCATCTCTTAAATTTTTGTTGTCTTCATGTATCTTCTTCATTACTTTTTAATAACTATGGTTTTTTTCCTATGTAGGGTGACTTAGCAGCTGTTGAACAGCTGCTGAAAAATGGGGCAGATCCCAATGTCAAAGATAATGCTGGCTGGACACCACTGGTGAGTGTTGAAGACTTTTTTTCTGTCATCTGTCTTCTAGTCAGATTTTATTTCATCCCTCCTTTCCTCTCCCATGTTTTTGTTCCCTTTACACGCATTGAGGTGACAAAGAATTATGCAAAGTGAAAAAGTGATGATAAACAAGTTTAAAATAATTTATTAGCATCTACTGACCTGCCCAAATCCAACTCTCCTTTGCTGGGGTAGGGCATGCCAAGAAATCTCTCAGCCTGTGATTCTGCAAATGCAGAAAATACAACTATGATAACTAGAAAACGATCAATTGCAGACAATGTGTATATTTTATGAGTTCTTAATGTCCTCAGTGTTTTTTACCGTTTTGGAAATATATAAAGTAGTTGAATGAAAAAATTGCTCACTTGAATTACAGAAAATAAACAAAACGTTCTTTTCAACCATGACTTCTTCCTCTCCTGAAGAATATTCTTGACAGAGTCTGTAATCTGGGAGGCTTTGTTCCCTGTAGTCTAATTTGCACACAGTTGGCCTTTGTTCAGTTCTTCTCTGTGCTTTTTATTAGTGCAAGGTTCCAAGGTTAATTCATGTCAGGAATGTAATGCAGTATCCTTGCGTCGTCTTCCCTGACCATCTACTGAGAGGTGTTTGAAAATGAATGTGGTAACTGGTGTGACAGAAGTCCTTCCTCTGAATTCTGTTTCACTTGAGTTTCCTCTCTTATGGATTTACGCAACTAGCACGAGGCATGTAATCATGGGCACAAAGAAGTGGTGGAGCTGTTGCTACAATACAAGGCGTTAGTGAATACTACGGGGTATCAGAACGACTCGCCGCTTCATGATGCTGCCAAGAATGGGCATGTGAGCATTGTTGAGCTGCTGCTTTTGCATGGTGCCTCCCGTGATGCAGTGTAAGTAGATGTGGAATGTTATTTTAACTATGGCATTAGCTACAGCTACAGCTTCCAAGGTGTATGTTAAGTAAATATGAAGCAAAGCTGTAATAAATGTGATTTATTTGAAGTGGGGAGGTAGGTGTTAAATGTATGCTCTGCTATACTTATATCCTCCTTTTCCAGGAAGGTGTTTCCTTTCCATTTTCCTTTGTCCTAAGCTTTTCTGAGGATGTCCGAGTCATAGATAGCTGCAGTATTGGAGACTGTACTAGGAAAGTAACAAAATATGCTTACCCTATTCTTACACTTTCCTGTTGGCATCTTGTTACAGCTACTGTCAGATCTAAGATGCTGAGCTAGATGAGTTTTGAACTGCTACAGCTGTTTTTTGTCTCTTTACTTTTACTACACTATTTGCTACCAGGAGGTGTTTCGGTCCAGTCTCTTCTGCCTTCACAAATGACATAGGCTGAGATTTGGGGAATGTTTTTTATTTTTTCCATTCTGGATCAAAGCACTAATCCTTGGTACACTTTTTAATTAAAAAAAAAAAAAAGCTTAGAAATATTTTCAGTTGAATCTTCTATACAGTTACGCCTCCTGAAGATTTTGGCATTTGTGTGTAGGAGGTGCTAAAGTATCTGTTAGTCTATGAATAACCCTGCAAGCATTAGTATTTCAGACACTAAACGTGGTTTTAGGTGTTGTACTACTGTGCCAGGGCCTGCGTGTATAAAATTTGAGTCCAATGCATGTTGTCAATAAGTGTGTGTATATAGTAACACGGTAAGATGAAGCCTTGCATGACATGAATTTCCTTGCCAGCCGCATAAAGAAGCATAAACAAGTTCAGCTTAATCACTTCAGCTCTCAATATTCACTCTTGAAGCTTACAGAATTAAGGTACACTGTGGAAAAGCATAGGGTTTTCAAAAACAGTCCTCATCTTGAATATAGTAGAGTTAAAAAACAAAAAACAACACAACAAAAAAAACAACCAAAAAACCAGAACAACAAAACAAACCCACAAAACTTCAGCATGAAAAAGTAAAACAAGGATCAATCGTTCATCTTCACTTTGTTCTTGAACAACAAAGAGCAGCACATTACACCTTGAAAAGCTGACAGCTTCAGAAACTAATTTTCAAGCCACTCGAATATTGGGAACTGGCTGTGTGACACTTATCACTTGTCTATCTGGTATTTCAAAGCGTAGCACAGACAACAGCGTTGATGCAAGGTTTTGATAGGACTTAAGCACTGGAAGATTTGCACAGCAGAGACTCCAAATGCCAACAGTGGACTCTTCAGGTCTCTTACTAGACTTACTCTCTGCCACATATGTTCACGCAAACTGAAATGAAGCTGAACCTCTTTCAGCTCATTCTACATGAGCAAATGTGACTTTCTATTGAAACAGAAGCTTTTTAATCATGGAATGAAAGATGTATGTAAACTTTAAGCTCTGGCTTAGCTTTTCATTGAATACAGGTAATGTTTGGCTGTATATTAAAACAGTGTGACACAGGATATGTTGCAACTCTGCAACTAGCTACCTCTTGCAGTACCTCTAAGTATCAAAAATGGCTTCTAACCCGCTTCTAAATGTGCACTGTTCTTGACAATCTCCAGGGTACTTGGAATCTCTAGTGTGTGGTGTTTATAAATACATATATATATATATA